CAGTAATCACATTTGCCAGTAGTATTCAATTTTTAAAGTGTATATTTAAGTCCTGTATGCTTAAATCTTCACCTCGTTAAGTATCTCTCTTCTTTTTCCTACTATCTTCTCAATTTTATAAAACCATCATCCTGTTTCTTTCTTCATCCAACCTTTTTTGCTGTAAGGCTAATAAAATTGCCAACATTTCTCCTGTGTATGCTGATAATCCATCCTGTTTTTATATTGAATTCTGGTACCACAAAAGCTATTCCTATTTTTCTTTTTGCATATTTGTTGCATCTGTATAAATTTGAATATATTAATAATAATTGTTTAAATTTAACTGTACTAAATAACTATCTACGGTGTAAGATTTATCTTGTTTCTTTTCCATTATTGACATAACTACTGCTGCTTCTGGAAGAATCCATGGTGGTATAGCTGATAGTGGTATTGTTTGAGTTTATTTTCTGAATCAGTCATTTTAAAATCTTTTCTTTTCAATTGTAAACCCAAAAATCCTCATTTCTTTTTCCCAACATGGATTTAAAATTTCCTTAGTTGGATGTTAATTTTTTCTTGTGCTTCTTCTTTCTCTCCAGCCTGGACCCACAGAGAATGATCTTATCAAATATGGACCAGGAAGCTCTTTACCACAGCTACACAAAAGCAATTAACCAAAGAAATCTTCAGAACCGACCGGTCTACATCTGGACAGATAAAAGCACCCCAGGGAAGGACTTTATACAAGCCTCCAATCAAAAAACGAACTGGTGATCTCCAACTGAGAATTTTACACGGTGCCATGGCCACAAACTGATTTTTATTGGTTGTTAATCAGGCTGTTTTAAACGGTTGTCCTTTCTGTGGTCTCTCTGAAAATGTGTTCCATGTTTTTATGGAATGCACAAAACTAAAGATCATTTTTAGCCTTTTAATGAGTGTTTTTAGTCCTTTTGGGACAGGTTTTATAAATGTTCTTTTTGTAGGAGGAGTTTATCACAATAGGAAAAATAAGCCAAAGGCCCGGCTTTTAAATGTTTTTATCAGTGAACCAAAGATGGCCATTTACTTGTCCCTTAGAGACAGACTGCAGAAGGGACCTTATCTTGATGCCAGAAAAAGACTGGAGTTTCCCTTCCACAGAGCCACAAAGAACATGCAGGATTTTATTCAGTCGTGGGATGCTAACAAAAATTTTTGTGCTGTGTCAGATGAATGACAACTACAATTTAACAAGCTCTTCATTTAATGATTTTTTTAGCTGACACTTGTTTTTACATTAATAGAGATTTTTAACTGACACCTTTTCACATCAGTAATTGTTTATATATTTTGAATGGTGTAAATAAAGTGTTGTTAAAAGTCAAAGTCAAAAAAGTCTTCTTCTTCTTATAGAGATTTGTGGCAGTTGCCAGACCAACTTCTGAGTAATTGGACTGGAGTGAGGACAGGAGATTTACAGCAATCAAAAAATAAACAAACAATGAAACAACCTCAAGAGGTTACAATTAAATGTCCAAATAAGGTTTGGTGGTAATTTACATGTCTTCAGACACAGAACCTGGATAACAGAGCAATGATCAGAGGGGATGGGGATGTTTCACAGCTCACAATATTATGTATCATGTTGAAAGGGATCAGCCAATAGTCCAACCTTGAACACTGACCATTACTTGAAGAATTGAGCCAGGTGAATTGTCTTACATTAAGATTCCTTAATCTCCAAAAATCTGTCAGTTTAAAACTGGAGACTAATTTATTATAAATATAATCAAAGAGAGGATGCGGTCCTCTTGTGGGGAAACTGTCAGTGAATCCATCTGGAAGTACATTAAAGTCTCCTCCAATGATAAACTGTCTGAGACTTGTGACTTGCAACACAATTACTCCCACTTCTGACTATCAGTCTCATACCCTATATGTAACCCCTCAGGAGTAAAGAGGGTTTAACGTTAACAGACTTTTTTTCTAGTTTTTTTTTTACCCCCCCACCCCATTGTTGGAGCTTCAGTTTGACCTTAATCATATATACAGTTACATCAAACAGCAAGAAGAATATAGGCCTATACAATCATTCAATTCCATCCAGTATGTGGTTGTAGTATAACCAACAGCCTCTGCCAAGTGTTTATGTGTGTTTAGTTTTCACCAAATATGCTGCTGTGCATTTATTCTTTTCTGGGTTGCTACAGACATTAAATATCTTTATATTTTCTTTAGTTGTTTACATAAACAAAACCTGAAAAATAAAAATCTCTAAGGTGCCACATGTTTATGCAATAGCCTAAAATGAACTGCAGGGGGCAGCAGAACTCCGCGAACGTAATGAGTAACCAAGGGCGTAGAAACGCTTATTGGATTTTACAAAACCACTGTATATCAATGTCATCTTTAGGTCTTTACTTGTTATATTTATTCCAAATTCATGTTTAAAATAACCACTTTTTTTGACTGGTGGTTAAAACAATTATTTTGAAGAAAATACTCTTACCTTGGTCTCACTGTCAGTTTTTATTTCTCTTTATCTTATTTTTAAGATGTATCATCTACCTATTATAAGATATAAACAGGTCAACTAAAAAACAGAATCAATACATTTCAATCAACCCTTTTCTATCTGACATCCTGTCCCTGCAACTTATAAATATGTTCATGTCAGACACATGTGAACCAGCAGACTAGACTGACCTTTGACTTGAAACCCCGCTGCACAGTGTTGTAATGTTTGTTTCTGAGACATATCTGACCTGACAGCCATTTGCTGTTTGCTGAGGCTAGTCCCATCTGCTTTTAACAAGCATTCTTATATAATATTATTAATGTTACTTGTGATTTGTGATTCGTGACACGCATTTTTAGAATATTTTCTCTTCTTTTATGTGACCAATGATAGAAGAGATTACAGCTGTTTAACATCCTTATATTAATATCTATATAAGTAAAATACAGTGTTGTAACCTTTATCTAAAGATGTCCATCTACCTCAACACACCTTAGTGAAATGATCAGGCCATTAACAGGACTTGGAAGAGAGTGAACTGCATGCTGAGGAGGTTTGTGGAAGCAGAAACACTTCTAAAAGGTTCAGGAAACTTGACCTTGAGGAATGGAGCTGAACTCTGATCTAAAGTGTTCTAAAGAGTAACACTACAATTATCAGTGATGGGTGGAGCCCCTTCAGCCTCTCAGTGTTGACAAACAGCTGAATCTGTCTTGTAAGTAGGAAAAACTTATAGAAGCTGTCTCTCTACCAGCCAGTAGGCAGAGGGCAGCAAAAGGGAAGGTGTTGTATCACTCTATGCTACAGTCTGAACCTGTAGCATAGTCTGAAACCTCAAACTCAATGCTATTCCTGACATTTAGAATTGAAAAAACTTCCTGGATGTCTTCAAACTTGGAAACCAAGTCCAGTGTATTTTATTATTATTATTTTTTTTTTTTTTTCATTTTTTGGAATACAGTCTGAGACTTTCTCTGATATCATGAACCTGCTGAATAATGTCTTGTTCTACATTAATTATTATAAAGGGATTATTATGAATATTATTGTAAAAATTTTATTAAAACGATAATGTGCAGAAATTCATAAATTAAAAACAGCAATTTTACAAATTACAGATATGACACAAACGCAACTTAAAACATACCAACAGATTTACCCTGTTGAATGTTTTTGATGCACTTAAATGTCTCAGGTCTTTAAAGAAAATGTTCCTATCAGATAAAGAGTTCACATTTTAAATTACTGTATCAGTGATTCATTTGTTAAGGGAAAATGTTGTCCAAACCCACATGGAGTTTTAGATATACTCTTGGAGTAATCTGATTAAGCCTGTTCTGTTTTTCCTTCATGTCAGGGTAATGGCTCCCACTTTTGTTTACTGGAGCTTAAAAGACATGAAAATGGCTTTGTAAACACTGTCCACATCAACTTTCTTCCTCATCTAGTCTTAAATTTCTTTGAAATGTTTACCTTTTTGAGATCTTTCTGAGTATTTCCTGTTACCCAACAGGTTCTAATTATTTCTTGACTGTACAATGTTTACATTATTCAGGTCTGAATATAACCTGCAAAACTGAACTATGCTTTTTGTGAGTCAAATGGGGTTCAAGACAATGAAATAACTATAAAAATGAGGGGATTCCTCTTAAACCAGGTAGGATTTTTTTTTTCAATAAATGAAATAATCCTTTGAACATGTTTTTGGTAAGAAATTTGTTTTTTGATGCCTAAAAATGTCAATGACAGATAAAGAAGAGTAGTAATCTGTAATAAGGAAAGCACTTTGGTAGGGTAATGTATATTTAAAGTAAATGTGCATTACTAAAAAGCCAAAAAATAAACAATTTTTATAATTTTTTAAAATACAATTTGTGTAAAACGGCATTCAGTACGCAAAAGCAAAAGGCAAAATGCTACAAAATAATCATTATATAACACATACAAGTTTTAATGAGTGAGATAAAAAATAAACAGTTGAAAAAGTATTTTAAAGGTGACACCATGCAAAGAAGGGCAAATAAATGTCCTTTTGTTGGGCAAGTTTACAACTATCAGTTTGTTTATTATTTTGATTTTTAACGTTAATTTAGTATTTTTTGTTTTGTTTTGTTTGTTTTTTATTGAAAAAATGTTTCTGTTATTTACATTTCTAGGTGAAATCAGTCATTTGATTATGATATCTACAGTTTTATCCCTACATTGTCTTTCTGACTATGAATAAATAACCTCTGTAGTCGAATATAAACTTATCTTTATTATTCCAACTCTTAGGGGAAGAAACAAAGCTTACTCATAGTTTTTAAAGCTTACTTATACTGTATCCTGGTTGCCAATAAAGCAAAAAAAAAAAAAGCCAATAAAGCAAAAAAAAAAAAATAAGCAAAAAAAATAAAAAATAAAAAAAAGCAAAAAAAATTGTATTCTGGTTCTACGGGAACTGTAACTGACGTATTTGATGTAAGTATCGCGAGACTCAGCCATGCCGTGGAACCTTATAAAACCCGGCTTGTCTTCGTCCTCTTCGTTCGTCCTCAGTGCAGGATAACGCAGCTCCTTCTGCCTCTTCAACTAAGGAAATCAAGTTTTTTAGACCGGGTATTCTATTTATTCAACCCCCGTACTGATATTCTGCCTTCAACGTGATTTTTAAGTAATCTGTGGCATCGTGTTTATCTCTAAAGGTGAGTTTGTTGTTTAAATTTCTTGACCGTGTTACATCCTCACTTCTGGTTGCCTAATATGGCAGCGAGGCTAACATCAAGCTAGGTCAACCGGCAAGAATCAGGGGAGAGGCTCTTATGTTCACACTACGGTAGCATTGGAATGACAGGATAGCTTTATTTTATACACATTGGAACAAAAGAATATCTTTTAAATGTTTTGGGCTTTTTTATTACTATGTCGGGGGAAAATTAGCTAAGTGATATAACGTTAGCTAACGTTACCCTTCCTATGACGTTGGGGGGGTTATGAAATTTTAATAATGGTAGTACAACATCTTACTTATAAACAATTTATATGTTGTATCAGTTTAAATTAAAGGTAGAAAAAATTGTTTTAAAGCCAATTTGGATATTATTACGTAAAAAAATGGGAGGGCTTAAAACGTTCAAAATTATTGATCAGGTAAAAACCAATTTAAGATTAGAAAGTACAATGTTATTACACTAAATTAGCAATAATAAACAAAAAACATTTGTGACAAGTTTTGCTGGGTGTTGTAGCTTTTTCATAAGTTTAATTGCGAAATTTGAAGTGAGTAGCCTACTCTACAGGAATGTTTAAATTCGTCAACATGTAAGAATCCGACTTTTAGAGGTTTTTGAAAATAAATTATATTTATTATCCTGCTGTCAACAGACGCTAGTTTCCGCAACCATAGCCCTAGATGTTCTCACAGGTGTTTAAGGAGTTATGGGTGAACATCAGAGGAAAAAATAGTAGTAAATCCCTTTTTTCTCTCTTTGATGTAATGGATATTTAATATGTGTCATAACTACATAACTAAGGTCAAAGATGAGCTTTCCGAGAGAGATCCCGCCTCCAAAATAACAGATACAAAATAGAAAAATAAAGGCAACAAAAAAACATAATACCTGACCATAGGTTTTAATAGCCTGTAACAACATATTTTAGTCAATCTTAGCAGTTTGGTTTTCTTTATTTTTACCGCTCTGATTTCCTTTAAGCTTTTTCATTGAAATGTTTAGGTCTTGTTAGATTTTATTTCCATTACATTTGTACATGTGTTTTTATTTCATTGCTTTTTTTTTTTTTTTTTTTTTAACAATTCCTTAAGATTTGGTATAGCTTCAGATGGCAACTATTCTTTCTTCCTTTTTGATAATTTTTAGTGTATATATTAAGTTTCCTCTCTCTTTCTCCCCTTTGTGTATTTTAATCAGTTAATTATGGATGTGATCGTGCGTCGCTGCCCCTTTCTGGCCTGCGTGCCTCAGGCCTTTTTTCAACAGTCCAAAAAGACCATGGTGACATATGCACAGCGATGTCCAATCATGATGGAGCTGGCCTCAAAACCCATGGCTCCGTCGATGGCACGAGCCCTGTGCTCTTCGTCCTCCAACCAAAAGACTGACATCAAGGATGCTAATGAAGGTGAAAATAAATAATGCACAGAATAGGATGCAAATTGGAATTCATTGGCTTCTCTGTTTTGTATTGTGTTGGTTTAAGCCATGCAAGTTGAACGAGTTGGGGTTTACATTTTTTATGTCTTTCAGCTGCTGCAAAGAGAGTGGAGTCCAAGCTGCCTACTGGTCATTCTGTGCAAGCTGCAGGACAGGGCGTGGCTTCCAAATGCCCTTTCCTTGCTGCTGAGATGAAGCAGAAGAACAGTGGTGTGGTCCGTCAAGTTACTGTGGAGTTCCAGGAGGATGTTGAGGAAGTGCGCACCGTTCAGAAAGGTGAGATATATAGTAAATGTTTACACTTTTAGCTCACTGTGCAGGGCTGTGCTTAATACTATTGTTCACCTGTTTTAGAGATTTCACCTGCCCAGTTGAAGCAGCCATCATTGGCCAGCACCACTAAAGTGCCAGAGCCAAGTAATTTGATGAAGAATCTCTTAAAGCAGCGTCCCAAAAGGGTCACCCATCTGCTGCAGGACAACCTGCACGGCAGTAGTAAGTTTTTTTTTGTTTTTTGTTTTTTTTTCAGTGTTGAGCGTTGCAACATTTACTTCTGAAGAACGTTAAGTAAGTTTTAACCTAACCTTTTTTTATGTATTGCAGTGTTCCGCTTCCAGTATGATGAATTTTTTGAGAAGAAGATAGAAGAGAAGAAAAACGACCACACATACCGTGTGTTTAAGACCGTGAACCGCCGGGCCACCGAGTTTCCCATGGCAGATGACTTCACGGGCTCCCTGGAGGATAAACGGGAGGTGTCCGTTTGGTGTAGCAACGACTACCTGGGCATGAGTCGGCACCCTCGAGTCGTGCAGTCGATAATGTGAGTAAGATAAACCGGGCTTGCATGTGTAGCCTTCATTTTACAACATTTACCCTAGTTCCTTGGTTCAAGGTCTGTTATGTAATAAAGAAAATATTTGTGTTTGGTGTATGTCTCCTGGTGATTACCTCAGGGCTTTTGTCCCACTGTAACAGGCCAGACAGAAAGAACTAGAAAGGCTTAGAGACACTATGCAATGATTAGATATAACCTGACACCTGGGAAGGGTGCCTGTACTACGCCTCTATGGAAATAGCTGGTCAGAGTTCAAATGAGAAGTGTTCTTTTCCTCTCAACGTGCCTTAGCCTGCCTGTCCTTTTAGGCTGTGCATTTGTAACACTTGTTGCTCAAGGATAATTTCACAGCTACTATAGCTTTTATCTGGAAAACAGGCGTGGATCGTTATGTATGTACTTCTTGAGAAAAGCAGAACAGGTTTAATGTATTTTTGTGTGCTTTCTTCTTTCTTTCAGGGACACTTTACAAAAGCATGGCTCAGGGGCAGGGGGGACCAGGAACATATCTGGGACCAGCAAATTCCATGTGGAGCTGGAACAAGAGTTGGCTGACCTTCACAACAAGGATGCTGCCCTGCTCTTCACCTCCTGCTTTGTTGCAAACGACTCCACCCTTTTCACTCTCGCCAAGATGCTCCCTGGTAAGAAACGTTTGTGAGGAAAATGACGAGTGTATTAATTATAGTTCTCACTAACTATCTTCCCTCACAATATCAGGTTGTGAGATTTACTCGGACGCCGGCAACCACGCCTCAATGATCCAAGGCATCCGGAACAGCGGTGCTAGGAAGTTCATCTTCCGCCACAATGACCTGGCTCATCTTAGAGAGCTGCTGGAGAAGGGAGACCCCACCAAACCCAAGATAGTGGCGTTTGAGACTGTCCACTCCATGGATGGTCAGTTTTATCTTCTCATCTGGAAACATCAGTTACATTTCTTAAAAGTGCTGTTCTCTAACCTGCGCTGTGCTGGATGCTCTGAAACGCAGGTGCTGTGTGTCCCCTGGAGGAGATGTGTGATCTAGCTCATGAGTTCGGCGCCATCACATTTGTCGACGAGGTTCATGCGGTGGGTCTGTACGGGGCCAGAGGAGGAGGAATCGGAGACAGGGATGGTGTAATGCACAAGATGGATATCATTTCAGGAACATTAGGTTAGCATTCAACATTGACTAAAAAGATACTGATTTTTGAAAGGTTGTTTATCAGTTAGAAGCTTTTTGTTTATGTTGTACTTTTATTTTTGGGATGTTTTATTTCTGAGCTAAAAGGAACTGCTCCTGGTTTGTGTGACTCATCCTGGTCTTTATGTTTTTTTGCTTGCCTGAGGATTAAGCCTCACTGGTGCCAGGAGTAGCCCTGTTGTTGCTAGGAAACTGTGCTCGCTCATTGTCGTCTTATTGAGTTACTGTGTCGCTGTGAAGCTGATTAGATTAGCATTTCTACCTCACCAGCTCCACCACTCTTTGCATCTGTTGTTTTAGGAATTAGTTTTAGTTTTATTATGATTTTTGTCTTGATTCTACCTTCAGGAAGCAACTTTAAAATGATTGGACGTTTTGTTTTCCAGGGAAAGCTTTTGGCTGTGTTGGGGGCTACATCGCCAGCACCTCTTCACTTGTGGACACCGTTCGCTCCTACGCAGCCGGGTTCATCTTCACCACCTCCCTCCCCCCCATGCTTCTGGCTGGGGCCCGGCAGTCAATCCAGACCCTTAAGGGGGAAGAAGGTCGCATGCTGAGGCGTAAACACCAACGTAACGTGCAGCTGCTCAGACAGATGCTAATGGACGAAGGGCTCCCTGTCGTGCACTGCCCCAGCCACATCATCCCAGTTCGGGTAATTTACGATTTAGTTCACAGCTTAATCTCATCAAACAGAAACACTAAGTACAGACAACCTGATTAGCTTTAAGCCCTACGTAAGACCCCACTGATGGCTCCTCTTTAATCATCTCGTGACTTTTTGATCCTAGGTGGCAGACGCTGAGAAAAACACAGAGGTGTGTGACATCATGATGAATCGCCACAACATCTATGTGCAGGCCATCAACTACCCCACCGTTGCAAGAGGGGAGGAGCTTCTACGCATTGCCCCCACACCTCACCACACCCCAGAGATGATGAAATACTTTGTTGGTAAGATTTGACAACAGTCATTTGCTCCCTCAAAGTGTAACAGGTTGCGCCTAACTTCTAACCTATCTTGATCTTTTATTATTTCAGAGCGGTTGGTGCACACGTGGAAGGAGGTCGGCCTCGATCTGAAGCCCCACTCCTCGGCAGAGTGCACGTTCTGCCAGCAGCCGCTTCACTTTGAGCTGATGAGCGAGCGGGTGAAGTCGTACTTCAGCGGCCTCAGCCACCCAATCTCAGCCTGCGCATAACACTACTCATTAATGCTCGCGCATTATGGCACATAAGCACCCATTCCTCTGTCGCTGTCATAAAATGTATTAATTATGTTTAATAAGTCCTATTATATGTAATATTTAAGATATTCTATCTTCAGATGTTCTATAAGCTCCAAATAAAGCATAAAAGGAACATTAGTTTACCTGTTTTTTGTGTCTTTAAACAATTATTGATTAAAATTTATAGTACAATTGATAAATATGGAAGAAGATGGCCCATGATAAATGACTACCTTTCTAAGGGTGTTAATAAAGAAATTATCTGGATTTATATTAAACTGCTTCACTCTGACAACCCCAAAATCCATTGCTAAAAACTGCACTTCAAAGTATATTAATAAATGGAGCCCTTTTGTGTGTAATTTAAGCTTGGCTTGAGTCTATTGTTTTATGAAGACCAAGGAATAGAAAATATGTGCAGAAATATGTTAAACCAATTTTTGCTATAAAACTATATCGTTAGTTGAAGAGCCCTGTTCAAAAAGAAGATACAGTTGAGATTGAAGGTTTACATACCTTCCTTTAAAGACAGAAAAGGCTCCAATAAAATAAATTGAAATTGACAAAAGTAACATTGAATTGAAATGTGTGTATGTACTCATAAATAAAACAAGTGAACAAGCATAAAGTAGTTCCTGAGCAAAAATGTTGCTTGGCTACATTTTAAGGCAATCACGGAAATCAGGTGTTTTCTGTAAAGCTCAGTCAGACTGAACAACTGAGCTGCAACTGTTGACAGGTATGTTGGTTCATGAGCCACGTAGAAATGAGGAAAATTGTACTCTGGTTATAGGGGGAAAGAGTGATGTAAAACTAGTAAAGCAGTGGTGTCAAAAGTACACATTTTTTTACTTAAGTAGAAGTATAGATACTGCAGTTTAAAAACACTCTAGTAAAAGTTGAAGTATCAACTTGACCTCTTTACCCAAGTAAAAGTGAAAAAAGTACGTGCTCCAAAAACGACTTAAAGTATAAAAGTATAAAGTAACCTTTTAAAACAGCCAGATGCCACTATATGAATTGAAAGCTCAATTTCTCGACCATTTCGAAAATTTCTTTGAGAAAGAGCAAAGGTTGAGGGAGGTCTTTTTGGTCTCCGTCTCCATCTTCCGATACGCTCTCACCTGTGTCCGACCTTTCAGACATTTCAACATCTTTTTCTGAATCCGACATTGTAGTATAGCATAGACAATTCACGTTTGCAGTTTGAAGAACACCTGCTTACTTCTGATGATTTCCTTTAGCTAACCAATGAGTGTTTGCGTTATATGACTCATCCAATTACATTAGATATATGATCTGCATTGGATGGCGCACATGATGTGAAATAAATATTTATAAACATAAAGCCAAAGCCAAGAATAACGAGTAATGTTTGTTTTAAAATTGTAAGGAATATAAAGTACAGATATTTGTGTGAAAATGTAATAAGTAGAAGTCAGAAGTAGGAAGAAAAATAAGTAATGGAGTAAAGTATAGATACCTAGAAAGTGCACTTAAGTACAATAACGAAGTATTTGTACTTCGTTACTTGACACCTCTGTAGTAAGACACAGGCAGACCTAATGCTGAATAAAGGTAACACGGTACATGTTCTGCAACTGTAACAGCCAGAGGCAGTTCTACAAAGTATTGGTTCACTGGGACTGAAAAAAAGCTCATGCCCTACTTATCTGTAATTTTTTCCCTTTTCTGTTTTCCATTTCTTTGTGTTGGTCTAAGACATAAAATCATTCATAACTAACCATTGAGGTTGATTCATGACAAAGTTTTGAAAATATCTAGTGGGTATTAACACTTTTAGAAAGCACTGCAAACAGGAAAGTCTGGTTTCAGACAATACCACCTCTCACCCTGACAAGGTTTACCTTTTCTGATTAACTGTGTTAGAAGCTCTAGATAAGGCAAGAGCTTCTTAAGAGTGATTTTAGCCACCTGTAAGTTGTTTAATCAACTTAGCCTTCTTATGGACTGCTTTGATTACACAAATCAAGGTGTTAATGCCTTTTAAGCCAGAGTCAAACCAACTCTGTGAATTTTAGATCACCTTTCCAAGGAAATGTTTCAAAATCTAGAATCTGGAATGATTAATGTTTAGAATCTATAATAAATGTAAAGATCTTTATTTAGCAGATGCTGATAATGTGCCACGAGCTTCTTAACAACCACTTAAGAAGCTCATGGCACATCGAAGAGGTGCCAACTCTCCAGCTTTAATCAGCAGTTCACCTACATGTCAATGACAGGAGCGCACAGAAATATCTTTATTCTGTATCGAATATATTATATATATTTGCAACAGTTTTGTTTTGTAATTGTATAGGTTGCATTTGATGTAAATTAAAGCTTAACTAGACATGCACTGTAAGATAAACTTTAGCTAGAGCAGACATATAGTATGTCTCCTATTCAAAGTAATATTGTAGCTCTGAGCTTTTCTATTCAATCAAGAAAGTACTCTATCTGAAATCTCAGCCATCTGTGTAACAAAAGGGGTGCATATGGGATTTACTGCCCCACACATTTAGTGCAATTTAATACTTTGTCTAAATAGAAATAGGTCACCGTAATGAGATTGGCTACGCTCACTGAAAAGGCCGAACCTTTATGATACTTTGGCCTTGTTATTTCAGCACAGAGCTGTACTTTTTCTATTTTTTTTTTTTTATATAAATTTAGGACATTGACACCTTTCCCTCACTGTTTGGCTCCCATTAATACATAGAATAGGAAGTGATATCAGTGTTATTTGCCATGGAAGAATTTGCATATATATATATCTATATATATATATATATATATAGATATATATATGCAATATAGGGATATATTGTTCTCATTTTACTATGCATAATACAATAATTTGAAGGGGAAAAGATTATATAAATAGGTTTAGAAGATCCAAATGTACAAAAGGAATCCCAAGGTGAGGATAATCAATACATTAAAACATTAAATGTCATTAAATCTCAGACTGTTGCACTGCTACACTCTAAACCTTTTAAGGGAAGCTTTGCCAATTTCCCTTTTAAAACATCTTCTTAGTTAACAGAGCTTCTATCACAATCCAGCATCCACCATCCGTCAGTTAAAGGTTGCAAATGTCACAGCTGTCTTACAAAAAAGGAGAAGTTCTCTAAAAATGGAAGTGAGAAACATTTTTGGTTTTTACTAAGAAACCGAGGTTTCTATTATAATGCGTTAATGTTTCCACTTCTAAGTTGTTTCCTAGCGGGTACTGCAAGAAAAAGCTTATGTTCATGTATTTACAGAGGGATTGAATGACTCTTAGACGTCACTTCTTACAATCTTACATGTCAGCGTTTTTATTTGGATGTGATGAAAGAGTTTGACAGAGAGCAGGACATAAGTGAAAGATAGGAGCCAAAGAATATGTGGTTTGGTTTGTTTTTTTAATTTTTTATTCACAAAAAAAATCTGAAAATAGAGATGTGAATATTATTTCTACCACTCTGTGTTAATATATTCACCTTATTTACATGTGGAGCTTTTTGGGGGTATCTCTCTACCACCATTGCAAAACCTGCATTTCTGCTTGTTCCGACAGAGAAGCCCAAATTAATTTTGACTTGAGGTAGGGTGATAATTTGTGTACATAGCTACTAAGGTCTTCCAACTGATTCTCATTTATATACATGATCTTTTATTACTTTCCTTTTACTTCGCAATAATTTACTTTTGTTTCCTCAAATTCTATATATAAATAAAATCTTTTTTTGCAACTGTATGCAGAAAGTTTAGTAATATGAATAACTAAACTTGAAAGCAGTCTTTAATCGCTGATATGGATGACTGTATATCCTATATCACTATTTGTGACCAAAAAAATACTTAAGGAACCTGAAGTTGCAAGATTTGACCAATGTCTTCATACCTGAAATAGGTTAAGACACAGAGTGATGAAATGGGTTTCAAAACTGAAAGAAGTAGCAGAACCCTAAAGGGGGGAAGTTGCTTTGCAGAAAAGAAGAAATAAAAGTAAAACATAAACACCCAAAAAATGACTTTCATTCTAACATTATATGAGGAGATTTGATGGTTTTAAATTAAGTCACACGCCTGCCTAAGAAGAGTTTATCACAGGGTGATGATCTAATAAGGAGGCCAGAATGACTTCAGATAAATCCCACTTTGTTCATGAAATGTATACTCATGATCTGATGGGTTTTTTATTGGATTTTTCCCTGTATGTGTTTTGATTTTTTTCTTTAATGCTATGTTTTTTTCTTTTTAAGTCTTTCGTTGGTTATTTCCAAATGTTTGTTAATATTATTTGTTTTATATACTAGTTTGTTTTTTTAGTTTTTCATTGTACTTCCCTGTTTACAGTTCAGTTTCCATCCTTTGATTTCTTTTGTTTCTACCTGCTCTGTTCCTTCTGGTTCATTAGTTCTCTTTAACCTTAAGCTGCTCTCTCCCTCAGCTGCAACTCATCCGTGTCAGGTCAGTTGCAGACCACCTCTAAGATTCTGTAGAAAGTAGATCGGCCGTAGTTCCCAGGGTTTGCCTGAAGGATATTCTGCATGAAGTTTTCATGTTCTTCCCATGTGTGTTGGAGTACTTTCTTGGTACTCTGGTTTTCTCCCGATGTTCAAAAACATAATCCTTGGGTTTACTGATATATCTGAACTTCCCTTGGCTGTTTGTGCATAGCTGTATGTCCATGTGTTGCCCTGCGATGGCGGCGCCGTCTGTCCAGGCCATCCACGGCCTTTCAACTGGATATAGGCACCAGTATGGATCAATTTGTTATCTACTGAATCATTTTGTTACCATGTCCTTCTTTTCTAAGCCAACCCCTTATATTTCTTGCTTCTACAGTTTGTAGTTGTGAAATACAATGTCTTTCATTTTTACTAACATTCTTCTCCCTAGTTCTGCTTTGCAGTCCTTCATAACGAAACATGAGGTATACATTTTATATTCTCTTATTTATGTGGTTAAGAAAGTCCTAATAAAAAAGTAATCATAATTCTTAATTACTGCTACACCTAAGCTTTGTATGTTTTTCATCTTAAAGCAACACTATATTACCCTGGTGACAGCTTGACTGGGCCTTGGTACCTGGCTCAGTCTGACCCCTGCAGGATATTGCATCCTCAGATCTCACCT